TACTGCCATCAAAGTTATTGTGAGCTTTTCCAAATCAGGGGACAGGCATGTCTTCCAGGCAGCTATTTCCAACTCTATTCCCACTGCATAGCATTTGGATAGTGCCACATCAGTGACATAGTGTTTCTTCAGTGCCACAGCAGGACCATCTGCCAACGACGGCTCTCCAACAGTCACACAAATGTACCTATTAATTAGATGACTATTAGAGTTTCCAGGGGCACCAAAGTCAATGAAAGTCTTACTTCTGGGTTCTGTTATCAACAGCTGGATCCTATAAAAGCCAACATCTTTCTGCTTTAGAAAAGTAAGGTCCAAACTTACTCTTTGCTATTGCATGGTTGCTGCTATATTTTGGCCATAGTAACTCAACATCTACCTTAGTTAGCAAAAGTTGAACATTGCTGGCCCGTGGAAAGTTGTAGATATATGCATAAATTTGTCAATGTAGAGGTCTGGAAAATGGCTCCTTGGGTAATGGCCTACTACATAGGCATGGATAACTGAGTTTAGATCCCCAACAGCTATGAAAAAGCCAGAATGGTAGCATGTTCCTATAACCCTAGCTATGAGCAGAGGATGGACAAGGGGTTCACCGGCTAACCTAATCTAGACAGAATGGTGGACACTCTAAGAGACACAGTCCCAAATGTAAGCTAAAATAGAGAAAGAAACCTAACTGTGCCTCCATAAGCACACCTGAGCACACATACAAAACACATACACAACACATACATACCCCCACAAAGCTATAGATGTAGCGGCTTCTGCAGTTCAAACCACTGATGATGTGGATTGCGTTTTATTAATTTATTATTAGTGAAAGTGACAAGTGAGGGTTCAGAAGTTTTAGGATCATGTCCCAAATCTGACTCGCTGCTAGAAAAGTGTCCCTCGTGAGGACCCCTGGCTTGTCTGTAGGAGGCATGGGTACCCTGGGACTTCGCATCAGAAGGCACATTTCAGCACAGTGTGCTGGTAACTACGTGATGAGGTACTTGAAAATACTCAACAGAGTGTGTGGCACACATAAAGGTGCTAAGTGTGACTTGGCAAGCTCACATTTTAACCTCAGAATATGTGTAGAGTTCGTGACAATGCCAAGAATGACAGCTGGGGTCCCCGAGGACAATGTTTACACAAAGGTGCTGAAGTCTTTCCTCTCAAGCAGAGTTGAGTTGTGTCCCATAGGGTGACAACACAGATGTGGAATTAAGATGAAAGCCCTTGGAAAGTGGATTCCATTTTCACATCACCAGAGCCCCCTTCTCAGTGAGGAGAGAAGGCTTTCTCCAGGGCAGCAGTGACCTGGACACTAGTAAACCTCGAGTGTGTTCTCAGGGGCAGGTTTCAATCTCCAGCCCTGAAATGTGACAACCAACTTAGACAACTGGAATTCTGCAGAGCCGAACATCAAATTATGGGTCACACGTTCAAAGCCATAGTCCTGAGGTGCGATGTCAGCCGGCAGCCACCGGGACATGATTTGATCCCAAAGAGAGAAGAGGAGGTGATATAGCAGAGGATGGCAAATAGTAGGACACTTTTGCACGCAAGATAGTTTACAGCATTTGCACTGCCACCATTTCCTTCTTTCTGTTAAACTTTCCAGAGACGCCCTGATATTGACAAGCATGTGACCCTTCACTTTTCAAAAGCATTGATCCTAAAATGAACCCAGCTGCGCCAGTGTGACTGCCTCTTAGTGCATTTTACAACAAACTTAGTGCTGTGGTTTTCTACATGAGAAATAAGGATAATTCCCAGTGGGAAGTTCCCCTCATCCCAAAGAGACCGAAGTAGCTTTTGACAGTGATCATTTTTCAAAGAGGGAAAACCATTTCCTTGATCTCTGTTCTGGTTTTACAGCAACATCTTGTACTTAGATGTGCCAATTAATACCTAGTCCTGGTGGACACAGAGGATGGTGGGTGAAAGGGACGAGGCACCCAAACAGGACAGACAAACGGGGGGGGGGTGAGATGACCACTTTTGAAAGTAAAATGATGTTTACACACAGAATAACAAAATTTCTCGTCCGCACACACCACCTTTGACATTCAGTAATCAAAGCCTTCTCCTTCTCCTATGTTCATGATGTCATGTTTTCCAGCCTTAGTAGTTTGTAGAAATTTTTACTTTGAAATGGGTGGGAGGGGTGGCTGGAAAGAACCATCGCTGCCCTAAAAGGAATGAGGAAGTGAGAGCCGTGCACTGTCTGGCTGGCTCTGTCTGTGTGACAGCCCGTGATGTTCCTTCCGGCCCCAGTCACATTCTGAGTTTCCACCTGCCCGCCCCCCACATATAACGCCCAGCACATGAGGCTGAGGGCTCCAGTGTCGCGTCTCTGTGGGTGGATTCCTAGGGTCAGAGTACCATGCTGTGTCTCCTGTTTTCCATAGTTCACTGGAGGTAGAAGAACTCTGGCAAAAGACCCTCTGGGGGGTAAGTACTGTAGAGGAACAGGACAGAACTTAAACTGCCCTGAGGGCAATGGATCTTAGATCCCTGAGATTTTATGTCCCTGGGAAAAAAAAAAAAACAAAAACAAAAACAAAAACAAAAACCTCTGCCGAGAAACATGTGTCTGTCTTAGAAGGACTCTGAATGTAGACTGCTCGGCTGCCCTGGCTGTGTGACAGCTGCAATTTGGGGATTCAGGAACTCTGTAAATGTTGGATTTAGTTTCTGTATACTGTAACTAGTATCCTAGAAATAAATTTCTTTCCTACTTGGGTTAGATGAGAGTGTGTAGAGCATTAATATAGTATGTATAAACACTCAAAAAAAAGTGTTAGTTCCTACAATTTTATTCAGATTCTTCTGATAGGAATGCAATAACAGACAACAAAGTTTCGCAGCAGTTAAGACATCTGGCTTAAGGAATGTAGGAGCAAGTTTCTCGGATGTTCTTCTTAATAATAGGTGACATTGAGTAAAAAAGTGTTTTTTATCTCAATTCAGGGAAATGTAGGAATTTTTATTTCTTGTGGATAAAATAAATGCAAACAAAAAATTGGATGGGACTCTCATGCAGCCTCTTAGTGGCAGGTTGGTTTTAAATGAAAACTCTGTCCAGCTGCTTTAACCTGGGGGGGCAGGGAGTTGGCAGCCTGACTCTGAAATTTGACTGGTTATTCTACTTTGTAACTCTTTTCCTTTGCCATTTATTGTAGACAGAATCAAAGCCTCACACTGGTGTAATCCCCCCTTGGACTGTCAGCCCCAACTCCAATGAAGTTGATAAGCAGTCTCCATGTACGTGAGTCCCTCACACCTTACTCCTTCCTCTTACCCACAGACAAGAGCCCAAGAACCTTTGCTAATGTTATTTTTTTCCTCTCTTTTAGTCAAAAACACTTAATGCCAGTAACATGGAGACATTAATTGAATGTCAGTCAGAGGTAAGAGAATAATGTTTTCAACTTTTTATTGCACTGTAAGAAGATGGAAAGTGTTCTTTTTGTTGAATGTTTGGGTTGTTTATCAGTGTAAAGTGAACATCAGATTATAAATTAAACACACGTACAAAGCTCTTCTACAATAATATTGACCTGAGAAGAATGCAGATTCAACACAATTGACTTAATTTCTAAGGTGAATAAGAGGCTGTCTGTGCGTGTCTTAGGCAACTATTTTAACTTAAATACGTTTTCAGGGTGATATCAAGGCTCTTCCGCCGCTGACATCGTGTGCGAGTGAAGACAGCATATGCCAGCTAATTGGTGAGTTTTGAAAACATACTGATCTCTTCTGCCAGCCTAACTAGAGCTCTGGGTTTGCAAAACCACAGGGCTTTTACTTTACTAGGAATTTGTTTTCTAAGTGTTCTGAGAGACCGCAGAACATTAACCCTTGACTAGAACAGCTGGTGCTGTAGAAGGGGAGACTGCAGGCAGTGCCCAGCTCCACAGGGGGTCTCCAACCAGGCTGGCAAGTCTCAGGCCTTGGAAACCTTGAGGATGGAAGTGTGCAGGCATCGGAGGAACACACACCACTCTTCCCACCTCTCTTCCTTCTTTAGCAGAGACTGCATCTAAGAGTTCATGAGGCAATGGTCATTGATCTCAGGCATCTACTCATACTCTCTTTTGAACCATATTTCATTACGATGAGCGTCAGATCTGGTCACACCTCCCAAAGCATGAGGGTGGGCCTCATTGTTCTTGTCTGTCTTCCACTTGCTGGTACAAACAGTGTAAAAACATACGACAGTTGTTTAGGGAATACAGCCTATAATATTAGAAGGAATAAAAAAGAAAAGATTAAAGGGGGACTATTGAGTTCTGACACACATTGCACACAAGTTTTCTGGTAGACAGAGGGTCGGATACTAGGGAAAGTGCCAAGCCTGGGTGGCCACCTTCCTGGAGAACTATGTATTATATATTAGCTTCTGAAACTCACAGGGTGACTGCAAGATTCCCTGGGTGACGTAGCCCCCTCTAGTGGTGGCTAAATGCTAAGATGGAGGTGACCAGCCAGCCCTCCACAGAACCTTCCAGAGGATCTTGAGCAAGACACTTCCTCTCTTTGTAACTTTCATATTCTAGGATATAAATTTAAATAATTCACATTAATTAGGAATATTCTCTATAGTTATTAGGAACAATACACTAAAATGGGTGGTGTTGATCCACAGTTAAATTCTGCTAGTTTTCTGTAGCTAATAGTTGTGAAGGTAAAAACAGGAAAGGTGGGGCGTTTGAGGAACCCTGGTGTTGATGTTTAGAGACTGGCTGCCCTGGAAACAATGTGGTTGTTTTGGGGTTGATTTTTCTAGATCAAGGGTTATGCCCTTGGTCTTGGTTTCTCAAGTTTTCAACACTTTTGCACTTTTGTTCTTTTTTTTTTTTTCCAACGTGGCATGCTATGGACAGACGATGTGGCCAACACCACCTATGCTCTAGTATGCATCTTGGCTTATTATTAACATTGATTTTTCTCTTTATCTCCTTGTTTCCTTGGCTATAGAAGTTAAGAAGAGAAAGAAAGTGCTCTCCTGGCCCTCTCTCATGAGGAAGCTCTCTCCTTCATCTGACTTCTCTGGATCATTAGAACCAGAGCTCAAAGTGTCACTGTTTGATCAACCCTTGTCAATCATCTGTGGAGAGAATGACACACTCCCCAAACCCATCCAGGTAGGTGTCTGTTGACTCATAAACCTGAAAAGTCTTTGGGGATGCTGATGGAACGCCCCACACCTGAAGCCTCCCCCTGCTTTCCAGTGTGGCAGGGAAGCCATCCGCCTGCTGTTATCCACCCATGTGCTCTGACTTGTGGGATGAAGACGGTGGAGCGTGTGTCACTTCTAAAAGCTCTGCCGAGAGGGAGCAGAGAGTGTTTGTGGGAAAGCTGGTGTTTCTGTGAGAAGTTCTGAGAGGAGAGAGGGGGCCCAAAATAATTTTCAAGAGTGCACAATTAGTGCTTTCACAATTTAGTTCCTCTGAGGAAAATGAGTAAAAGGCATCTTTGGTAGCACTGACTTTGGTAGCTTGGAAAGGCTCTCTTTGTAACAAGAACCGATGAATAGGGTTCTGTGCATTAACAGCAATGTGTATGTCTCCATGTGACCGTTGTGTCTGCTCCTGCAGGACATCCTCGCCATCCTCTGCCTTAAAGGCCCCTCAACTGAAGGGATATTCAGGAAAGCTGCCAGTGAGAAAGCCCGCAAGGAGCTGAAGGAGGAACTTAACTGTGGGAGCCCCGTGAACCTGAACCAGCTCCCAGTACACCTCCTGGCTGTGGTCTTCAAGGTGAGTCTGCTGCATCTGGGTCAGATGGACTGTTGGGGGTGGGCTAACAAACCTGTCAGGAACCCAGGACCTGGCACTGCCCCCTGCCAGGCAGAGCCAGCTGATCTGGGAGTTTAGCCTTTCCTCTGTTTCAACAGAAAGGGGGACATATGATTCTCTCAAAACATTTGATTGCTCCATGGCCAAGTCCATTCATAGATCTGGTCTCCCCAGATGCACCAACCTATGGACGGTGCATCTTATCACACTGGTTACTGGGCAGTTTCTGAGTTCAGTGTGAGTTTGGAAGAGGCTGCCTAAAGAAAGCAAATACAGGGATGTGATGGTGAACAGGGGTGCCTGGCAGAGATGGGACACAAGGAGGAAAGACTCACTGCATGGCACAAACAAGCAAACACACCCCTTTCCTCCCTCCAGGACTTCCTCCGAGGAATCCCCCTGAAGCTGCTGTCCTGTGACCTCTTTGAGGAGTGGATGGACGCCCTGGAGAAGCCAAGTGAGGAGGACAGAATCGAGGCCCTAAAGCAGTAAGTCTCCATCTTTACTCCTTCATAAACCTGTGCAAGTGCTTCTGGATTCCTGCCTCACAGAAACTGAGGTACAGAGAATCTGAGTGGGGTTGCGCCTCTGCTCCCATCACAGCAGCCAGAGGAGCCCTGGCTACTTAAAGGAAGTAGTTCTACCCAAACGAGAGAAAGTGCACTTCAGTACTCATAGACCACCAGACAGGAGAGAGCCTAAACACAGGAGTAGTTTGAAAAGACACAGATTAAACTCAGACATGTGAATGCTTTACCACAGGCTAGCCAATGCGGTTGGAGCTATCCTTAACTCATTAACTGGTGTCGTGACAGCCGCTGTTCTCACAAACCCTTGGCACAGCTGAGCAACTTGGAAGGATTTGTTTTGTTTATTAAACTCCACAGTAAACTCTAAATTCTTATGGTTAATAAAAAGAAAAAGAAATAGAAAAGAACAAAGTCCAATAGTTAGCAGAAATTTTATTTATTATTATTATTATTATTTAAATTATATTTAAAAATGAAAGTGTGACCTCTGCATAACTAGAGTCCCAATGCCTTTCGTTAACATGTCAGAACCTTCATCACATCCTAAGAAAGCCTACCAATATGCAATTGGCTGTCCCCCACAGCCAAATATTTTCCATGAAATATTTACCAAGAGGAGGATAGTTTCTGCCCACCATTACCCCCAGAATTCTAAGATTATCACAATAAGTTTCTACTTGGGCGTGAAACTTGTTTATGAAAGTAACACTAAGAGACAAAAAGGATCCATGTGTTGGATTCACTTCATCTTCTGAAGTGCCAAAATGTAAAGAAACAATCTTAATTTGCTATCACTAGAACAATGTTTGTGTTTAAGTACTGCATGCCTCTAGCTATAAATGTGCTTTTATAGACAGATTCTATCTAAAGATTTCTCAGAATGATATAAAAATTACAGTCCTAAGAAGTGTAAGAAAATCAGTCTCAACAGGACTCAAAACAGAACAAATCTGACACGGTCATTTGATGGGGCAACAAAATTGTTTTCAAAATGTAAAGCAGACTGTGGGGGTTGTACAGGGGGAGTTACTTCATAATCAGCACCCGTGTGTATAATACAGAGAGGTACTAGTGGAGTCCCAGTTAATATGACCTTGTGGCTTATTGGCCCCGATCCATGTCAGCAGCTGCTGCAGGAGCCTAAATGAGTGTTTCACAGTGTTTCTTTTGAAGATGCACCTTCCTTGCTTTAGAGGAAGTCCAGTTTGGGTAGAACCTCCTGAGAGGCCAGGTGAAAATCACATGAAAGCCATCATCCCTCAACTTCTTCCAGGGTTGCAGACTGCCTCCCCCGGCCCAACCTTCTACTGCTCAGGCACTTGGTCTATGTGCTGCACCTGATCAGCAAGAATGCCGAGGTCAACAAGATGGACTCTAGCAACCTAGCCATCTGCATCGGGCCCAACGTGCTCACTCTGAAGAATGACCAGAGCCTGTCATTCCAGGTCCAGAAGGACCTGAACAGTAAGGTATGGCCTGCCTCTGTGTGTGAAAGCCCCTGGGCATGAGCCCACCCTCTGTAACAGCTAAGCACTGAAATGCTGAGTTTCTCAAAGTGACTCAGGGCCCAAAAAGGAAGTCTCTACTGCAGGATGTGTTTCTTGTAGTTCCACTCTCTTAGATACACATATTTGCTGAAGAGTGAGATATATGCATCCTGTGTTGTCCTAGGAGATGGGCCAGAGTAGCAGACATTAAAAGCAGTAACTCCCTGGCTAGAAAAAACACTTTGTTCTTTTTCTTCTGTGTATCACATTTTGTCTGTTCAACTAGAAATCTCGACAACTACTTTCTAAAATGAAATTTTCAGTTACTTCAAAGTAATTTTCTTTTAATCCTAAAACAAAACAAAAAGCTTGCCTCAAAAAAAAGCCATAAAATAATAAAGTGAATTATCACCACCAATCCTAATGTGCTTTTTGGGCACATAAAAGTATCTATTTCTACTTCTGCCACTTCCCTAGGAGTTGGCCCCAATAAGTCCTCATTCTTTTCTACCTTCTTTTCTACAAATGTACTTAAGCTGACAAACTGCTTACATTTTCCTCACAGGTTAAGACATTGGTGGAATTCCTCATTGACAACTGCTTTGAAATATTTGGGGAGAACATTCCCACACATTCCCGTATCACTTCTGACGACTCCCTGGAACACACTGACAGTTCAGGTACGGAACATTCTGTCACTTGACTGTGGTTCTGGGGAGAAGTGCATGCTGGTCCTCGATGCTCTGCTCAGTGATGTCAAGCATCCCTGGTATTAGAAGCAGGACACGCCTTCACAAATCAGAAGTCTGTAAGAAAGTAGTTAAGCACGGAGGCCTTGCTCTTAGATTTACCTGCAACACCTCATGCTGTACTCTTTATCGATCTTTAATTTTCTCCTTCCTATTCTAAGACACAAATAACTCATGAGTCTACTTATTAAACTTTAGCTGTGGCATTTGAGTAAGGAGGTCCCAGCTCTATAATGGAATGTGAGTCCATTAAAATGGAAAATGGTCCAATACAAGAGCTACTCAAAGGACCACTTTAGACAGAAACCAACTGTTGCTAAAAGTGCTTGGACAAAATGCTCAATTCTGCCTTAACTTTTCCCAGATGTGTCAACTCTGCAGAATGACTCAGCTTATGACAGCAATGACCCGGATGTGGAGCCCACAAGCGCCATCACTTCTCCCAGCAGGCAGCTGGAGGGGCCCACTGCCACAGTGACTGGCCCAGATAACCGGGCTTCACAGGACACCTGTGAGTCAAATTCAGAACCTGCTGATAGCATGGTAGCCAGGTTGAAAAGCTCCATTGGCCAGCCAGACAGACGGTTCTCTGAACCCAACATGTCACCCTCGCAAGAGTGCCTCATGGACCAAATGACGAAACAAAAGCTAACCAAGAGCGAGGATAACTTCACCATGCCCCAGGAAGTCTCTTGTTTTGAGGGTCCTGAGGCTGAAGATCCATTTACAGAGGAAGTCTTCCCAGCAGTTGAAGGCAAGCCCAAGAGACCAGTGGATTTAAAGATAAAGAACTTGACCCACGGTTTAGCATCACCACAGGGATGGGTACCCAAAACTTTGTCCAGAGTCTCCTCAGGTAAATCTTTGGACAGCTCACCCATACCTTCTCCTTCCTTTCCCAAAAGAAGCTTCTTCACTAGGCACCAGAGTTTCACCACAAAGACAGACAAGATCAAACCACAAAGAGAAATTAGAAAGCACTCCATGTCGTTTTCCTTCACCTCTCACAAAAAAGTGCTGCCCCGGACCTCCAGCACTGGGTCTGAGAAATCCAAAGACTTTTCTAGAGACCAAATCAAGAAGGGTTTGAGGAAAGACAGCCAGCTTGCTGGCAGAATCATCCAGGAAAATGAGTCAGAAATCCAAAACTTCAGCTTGTCTAGAACCTGGGCCCTCTCGGTTGACAATGTGTTCCAGCTAATTGATGTGAGGAAGCCAGGAAGCCCACCATCCTACGAAGAGGCCATTCATTACCAGGCATCTGGATTCACAGCCTACAGTGGCCAGACGGTCAGCAGTATGAGAGCAAGAATGCTCAAATGGAACACGGCTCTGCCTCCTCTGCCTTCTCGCCTTGGAGGTGACCACAGTGAAGGGACACCCGGTGGACACAGACTGTCTCCCCTGACTGAGTGCTGGAAACAGAGTCAGACTGTCAGTGTCTCTGTGGAAACTCAGGGGAGATCTGAGCAGCACGGATTGAGGATGGTGTCTGAAACGATGCAGAAGGCTAAGTTAGACTGTCTCAGGCGACAACACAGCCACATGGTCTTTGAGGTCGACCAACTACAGGGTGCTAAAGAATCCTACATTTAGGAAAGGAGACCTTGTACCATGGCTAACTTATGTGAATATATGACTGGACAGAGAACTGCCTGTCGATTCTACTTTCCAAAGAGTCATGAATAAGCTCATTCAGGATGTTGTGTAGAGCTCTCCTCTGTGAGGATGGCTTACACAGCAACACACCGCATTGTGTGTGTGTGTGTGTGTGTGTCTGGGTTTGTGCAATATGTAGTAAATGTGTAAAATGTACCATAGACAAGGTGTTAGATGAAAAGGGTGTCTACATACATCCCTGCATGCATGCATTTGTGTATTTCTATATATTGCTGGGGGGTGTCTCTAGGTGCATGTTTCTATTGATTAGAAAAAAAATCCTTACTTTTCTTAGTTACCTCAAATATCTTGCCAATGGTCACATTTTCCAAGCGCTGCACGTAGGTGGAAATGTCTGAACCTCTGATATGTTTGTTCTCCTAAGTATACTTGTGACTACTAACCAGCATAGTAGAGGGAAGTAGACTGAAAGGCACTGTGCTCCCAGCGTGAGCAGCCGGGAGAAGGTCTCTCTATCATTGAATGGAAAGTGGGTGGAGGGGTGGAAATGCGTTATGTCAGTATTAACTCAGGCAGAGCACTTTGAACCTCTGGGTTCAAGTGGTGTCTTGCGCAGTAGTGTGGAGGTACATGATGTGGTATGCATTGGGGGTCGTGTATAAAACTTCAGTGAGGTTTCACTACAATAAACTGCCCTCCTCCTTTACAGTGCTCATTCTTTGCTGCTGTTATCTCTTTTCCTTCAATTAGTAGGAATCAATCAAGAACATTATCCACATCTGGTCCATTCAGCCAGTATCTGTTCACTATATGCTCATTGTTCTGGGCCGTCACACCCTGGGGAGCTTGTGTCCAGGGGATGTAGTCTCTGTTCTCTGGGGATTTGAGACACTTCTTTTAGCAAGCCATCACTCGGGGGACAGAAAAAAACTTGAAGACACAGGATAATCTAGCAAATGTAATGGTTTCCGTTTGTAGTAAATTAGACTTTCCAGTGACTTTACATATCTCACTTCTGTGATGCTCAGTCTCCTTTGTTACTAGCTATCATAAGGATAAATGTTTGTGATCTTAGAATTTACTACCTAATAACTAAGTTATTTATCCAAATGTTTTAGAGTACTGGGCTCCAATCTTCCTAATTATGTCCATTTTTATGACACTGTGTACATTTCTGATTTTGGTGTTTAGATAACACGTAAAAAAAGACCTGATTCTTCCCCAGAGGTGATTTACTGAGAATTTGGTCAGCCATGTCGTAAACTGGGTTGTTCAAGCAACATGATCAAAACTAACATTTAAAATGCTCTATTAAGCTAGGCAGTGGTGGCACACACCTTTAATTCCAGAACTTGGAAGGCAGAGGCAGGTAGATCTCTGAGTTAGAGGCCAAACTGGTCCACAGAATGAATTCCAGGATAGCTGGAACTACATAGACAACCCATATCACAGATCGAGAGAGAGAGAGAGAGAGAGAGAGAGATCTCTAGTAAGGGCCTTCTGGCCTCCAGGAATGCACATAGTGAACATGTAGACAAAACATAATATATTAAATAAAATCTTTTTAATGTTCTGTTTTTAAGCACTGATAATAATTTGATATCAAAGGGCAGGCCTTCCACCTCACTGGTAAGTCAACAAAAGTAACCCCTTCTCAGAACTGAAAACTAACAGAGGTATGACTTTAGTACCTACCACATGCCAGGCACTATGCCAAGTCTTTCAGTGTTAGGATAGGATTATCTCCCACCAGATTCTTAGTGATACAGATTTGTATAGGTAGGTGGAAATATATATATATATATATATATATATATATATATATATGTGTGTGTGTGTGTGTGTGTGTGTGTGTGTGTGTGTGTGTGTGTGTGTGTATGTCTGTGTGTATAAATATATGTGTGTATATATATATGTATGTATATATGTGTGCTTATATACGAATGTATACACACATACACATACATATATATAATTTATTTGATATAGGATTTTCCTGCTGCCCAAGAAGTAACAGAATGTGAAGAAACCTTACTGCCTTAGCCTGCTAAGCACTGGGATTACAGGCATGCAGTCCCACAATAGCTCTCAGTGACCTGCTCATGAGAATTGGAGCATTGTCTCCAGTGCCTAACCGAGATGAGAAGTCAGGAAGTTTTAAACGTATTCCTGCTTAACTATCGACTCCACCTCCATGTGACCCTTCCTCTGGTCCTGAAAACACTCCTCAAATATCCTTATATGTATTTAAGACAGGGTTTCTCTGAGCAGCCTGGAACTCGCTGTATGTACCAAGCTGACATCAAGCTCACAGCAACCTCCTGCTTCTGCTTCCCAAGGGCTGGATTAAAGACACAGGTGCACTGTCATGCCCGACTAACTGTCCATATTTTTAAAAGTAACGATGAGACTGGAAGCCCTGTAGTATGGCTCATTGTCAGATACCTATGGCTCCTGGCAGGAAAGCTTCTGCCATTCTTGTTGATGTCTTTGACTAAGGAGAAGGCAGGTGACCGTTTAAAATATCACACCTCATGGAACCCACTAGTTTCCATGTGGCCCTCTGATGCTTCCAAAGTGGGTTTCCTAATTCCATTTCCAAGCATGTTCATTTGTGGAGGCTGCCACAAGAGTACTATAGCTAGAAGGGGGTGCTTAAACAGTAGAAATGCATTATCTATGGTCCTGGAGAATGGAATTTGGAGACCAAGGTGTTAGCAAGGTTCATTCCATGCTCTTCTTTGACACAGATGGCCAGCCTTTTGTTCCTTCCTGAGAATTTTTCTCTCTTCCTATAAAGAGAGGGGACAGGAGGGAGGTCGTGACACACAATATACTGTAATTATTTCCAAAGACACATTCTGTCCCTGACCCTAGGACTTAAGTAAACTGAATCTTCCCTAGATATGTTGGCTTAGGGAAATTTATCAACATTGGACACTTTTGCTAGAGATAAAAACAATTGCTTGAAACTTATACCCAATAAACACAGCACAATGGCGGGGCCTACAGGGGGTGACTCAGCAGCTAGGTCTGTAACATTAATATACCAAGCAATGGCTAACGGCCCCAGTGCTCCCCAGTGCTGGGGATGGGAATGTCCAATGCTGTCTATTTTAATGCACATTTGAAAGAATAATTAGATAAATGCCTGATTGTGATCCCATTGGGAGAGCTGCCAGTGTATGCTTTCTCTCTAAATGGTCAACCATGAGGGAAGAAGCCACATCAGATAGCATCTCAAATTGCTGAAGATTCTTCACTAACTGAATTATGTGATTTTAACTCTTCTTTTGCCAAAGGAGAACTACCAAGAAGGTCAAAAATGTACACAGTTCGCTAGAGGTGAAAATGAATCGCTTTTAGCAATATCTTGAATGTAAACTGAGACACTGTGTTTTGTCCACTACAGAATACAGTTTAACAGGAGGACCAGAGAGATGACCCAGTTCATAAAAGTGCTTGTCACACAAGCACGAGGACCTGGGTTCAGATCTAGCACTCACATAAAAAAATCTGGGTGTGGTTATATGTGCCTGTGTTGTTTCCGTTTGTTTTATGGGTTTTTGTTGCTCACTAGAACACAATAAACTGATCTAACTACCTTTTTTTTTTTTGAAGGGGGGCTGTTGGTGACAGCGGTTCTCTGTGGCTTTGGAGGCTGTCCTGGAACTAGCTCTTGTAGACCAGTCTTGAACTCACAGAGATCCACCTGCCTCTGCCTCCCGAGTGCGGGGATTAAAGGCATGTGCCACCACCACCTGGCTTACCCTAATTCTTAACTTTAGCCTAGCTACATAATTTAAAAAGCTCCAAAAACAAAAACTTTTCTGTTTTTGCAAAAGTTGTTAGGAAGTGATGCATTCAAAGTGTGTGGTTCCCATTACAAAATGATATATACCATTTGATCTTTCTCTTTTAATGCATAACTCGTGTATATAATTCAAATTGATGGTCTTCAATTAGGGTAGAAAAAGAGAAATGAGGAAGGTATTTTAAAATGTTGAAATCATTCATAAAGACCCATCTTAAGCATTCTGGGTGGTATTTTGATGTCAGTGTTTGGGGCAAGCATGGGAATTTGGATAGCAAAGGTCAATTCTCAGGAGATTTACTTTTCTCCTTGTTACTTCCTCTCCTTTGTTTGCACCTTCTGGTCTAATTTGAAAGAAAAACTATCTGGGGTAAGTCAGAGCTAAATCTAATCCTAGCTGTTTACTATGGAGACAGCATTTTAATAACTGCTTAGGCATCTGTACATCCTTGGTCTTTTATCAAGATAGTAAACAATTTTATTCTTCCATTGACTTATTTTTTATCAAATTTATTGCAGTCTGACCATATAATAAACCTCATCTATTCAGAATGCATGGTGTGGTTAATTTTATCTTGCATAGATATTTAAGAGAACACTGTCACAATCAAATCATAGAGTACAGTGTTATCAATAAATTCTTAGCACTGCCTGCTTGGTTTGGTTTGGTTGGCTAGTTTACTCTAGTTAGCCACTGTTGATGGGGGAGGTCCTTCTGTATGTATGTTTATCTTATTGGTTGTTGAATAAGGCACTGTTGGGCAATAGGGGAGCAAATTAGGTAGAACTAGGAGTCGAGGAGGATTCTGGGAAATGTGTAGTAGAGACAGTCATCACTATGTGATCTGAAGAAGAATGGACACATTCTGCCAGCATCCTCAATAAGTCTTATAAATATAAGGATTAATGATTATGGTTGATAATTAAGACTGGGCTAGCAGATAAGAAATCCTAGTCATTGGCCAGCAGCATTGTATCTAATATAAGTCTCTCTATGTTATTTTGGCCACCCACGTGGCAGGCAGAACTTGGGCAGCTGGCAGAAAGATTTATCGTTACAGAATGGTGTCAGGAATGGGATAAGAACCCTTGCCTCCAGGGGAGACTAGACTTATCGTTGCACACTGTAGTGGGGGATATACTAGTATCTCACTGTGGTTCATTTGAATTTTCCATTGACTAGACAATGATGGGCATCTCTTCACATGTTTATTGTCTATTTAGGAATTACCCGAACTTTCCTTAAAATCATCTTTTCTTTAAGTAATAAACTTCAGTAGTTATATATTCTGAAACTTTATGCATTCTACAAATTCTTTGGTTCATAACTCTCAGCC